TCCCGGAGTTCGCTGGGTTCACAGCTGTTTGGTTTTACGCGGCCACAGAACAGGTGGCCTGAGAGAATTAGACCAATAAAAGATGTGTCAGTATACTTGTGTTTGCTGCTTTTTTTTTATTCCTCCTCATGAGCATTATAGTCACATGGCTGTTTCCTATGACACTACAAACTATGGTACACAAGGGATGCAAACACTGAAAATTATGAAGACAGTATATTGTGAATCCATAGGTTTGTGAAAGTAGTCTCTAAGCACTTACTGAATGGAATAGAGACCTGCTTGAACAATATCTACTGTATCAATTCAAGTTATAAAACATTCTTACATACACCTCTGGTACCTTTATTTTAAAAGCCAGATCCTCTCTCACTAAGAAGATGGGTTAAATTCACAAACACAGTGTGACAATATGATGTTTTTCCTGTGTCTAACAGATTTGTTACCATGCCCTAACTGGAATGAATAAGAAATTAATGATAATTATTAAAATAGAACATATGAAATAACAACAACAAAAAAATCTGTATAATTTTTTTCTTTCAAGGGTGACATTTTATATTAGTATACAGCAATTTTACAGATGTTTATGCCTTCAGTAGCACAATAAATTGTGTAAAATATTTACTGCTAAACATGATTTTGTATTGAAAAATGCTGATAAAAAGCAAACAGACTTTCAGAAGGCAGACCTAAGTCTAGAGAAAGGAAACTAGTGTGTAGACCTTATAAAACTAATCGAGCATCTTGACTTTCTTCTAGATTAACTTAAAGGAGGGTATGTTTCATTGTAAAAAGGCAGGCTCATCACCTGAGTGTTAATTACTTGATGCTGGATGACATGGATGGTTTGTAGGCACAGCTTAGAAAGGATGCTCCTATGGATAAATGAAATGAAGTCACAGAATAGAAGAGTGCACACTTCCAGAGAACAATGCAATTGCAAGACTCTTGGAGTTAGGTTCAAACCTTAGAACTACAATTCTGTTGTCCACCTACTTACATATGAACAGGTAGTTGTATTATCTGAATGTAACTTTCTCCATTTCTTTTCCTGACCAACGTCCCCAGGACACGGGGACAATGACACGGGCCACATTCCTGTGCAAGGAAGTGGAAACTCTTTTATTTGTACTTGGGATGGCTCTCGTGAACTTTCATCTGGCCTGTTTACCTGTTTGTCTGCTGCACTTTCATCTGGCCTGTTTGCCTGTTTGTCTGCTGCACGGTGCTGGATGAGGAAAAAAAAGGAGAGGGGGAAGTCTGTGCTGTAAAATTCCATTTGCTGGCTGGCACGGCTAATACAAGGAGAGAAGGCACCATGGTGTACTGCTAATACAGGCCCTCCACAGGGCTGTGTCTGAACCAATCCTTGCTACTCAAGGCACAGTTTAATTAATAATTTTTTTACCTACTGCCCTTTACCTAGATTTGATACCTGGTCATGGTAATCTTAGGTAATGTCTATTCCATCCATGATGAAAAGTTCAGAAAAAAAAACCCAAACCAACCAAAACAATTCTGGTCATAATTTTAGGTGGACTCTACTGATGGTTACAGCCAAAATTCCTGAGTGTTAATTTAAGGCAGCAATAATCAGAATGAATTAGTATAAAGCAAACTATAAAGACACAACAAGACATTTGGTATTGTTGAAATACAGTTTGAAACTAACTAGTGAGCATATACTCAGCATTGCAGAGTCTTCTCAGGCAATGTCTGCCAAGTATGGATGATAACTTTATTATGGAGTAGAAATGGCTCAGCAAGTATAGAGAAATGACTGGAGTTAGAAGAGCAGGGGGAAGTGTCAGTGGTTTAACAGAAACCTCAAAAACTAGATATAGTCATAAAAATATAAGTAGAGCTTAATGGGAGTATTTTGGAAGAAAGATATTTTCTTAGGCAAACTGATAAAGTTGGATAAAGCTTATCCCTTAATGCCAAATCCAAAAGCATAATGTTTTTCCCAGTACACTAGCTGACTTAATAAATGTTACATCCTCTCCCTTTCCTCACTTGTATCCTAAGATTGTGGTTGTGAACAACACTTTGGTAAAATATTACAAAGTAGAACAAAGATGTCTTCTACAGTGATAGGTATCAGAATGAAAATGACAATATGCAGCCCTGCAGAAAATATTTCAGTCATGGAGATTTTAATTCATTATCTGTGAATATTCTTTCCTCTTCTTGCAATGAAGGCAACCTTCTTTCTGCCAGACACATGCATAGGGTGTCAAATGAGATCCTTTCCTAGTTATGGTAAGTGGAAAGGTCCCGTTTTCTAGGTGAAAATGTCAAATCTTCATTTTCCTTTGGAAGCAAAGGTCAGTGTCTTGTCTCACCTGCCTAAAGGTCTACAAAAGCTAAACCAAAAACAATGGAAAAGCACAATTATTGTCATCTAACAGTAGCAACCCACACAGGGTCAGCTTGGTGCCGTTCGTGCTTACCACTGCTAAAATTGTGGGTGTCAAATTCAGAATCTTGGTCTTTCTTGTTGATAGCCATCCCAGGCCTGGCTTTGTGGTATCTAAACAATACTCCAATATACCAGGACTGTGGTTGGCACCTTCAAGTCTCTGGCACAATGGTGATCAGAGCAAAGCTTTCCAGAAAAGCACATCCACCCTGAGTCTGTAAACCATCATATCCCTTCATCATCATCTGCTCCAAGTAAATTTTTTGACCACTCTCCCTTGCCCCATATAAAGTTCAAATAACATATACACTAATAAACAGTTTAAAAGCAATCTTCCTTTCCTATCTTGCACTCATTAAAAAAAAAAAATAATAAAAATTCCCTCTACCAAAGTTTTTTCTCTACACTGGCCCTCTCCCTGGGGGCAGGGGGAGAGGAGAAAGATGTTGGCTGCTGTGGTTGCTGTGCTGTTAGAAAGCACTCAGGCACTACGGTGATAAGCATTTTAAGTCTGCGTGAAAGAGCAGAGAAGAGGTGAATCGTAGGTAGCGTCAGAAGCACCATCAGTGTGACAACTGGGTACAGCTCTTTTGCTGCACCTTGCTGAAGCCTCTTGTCCCCTCGCCAAGCCGCACCATTTGTCCTGGCCGGCTGTTGGCAGTGGGACGGAGAAACATGCAGGGTGAGAGCTCTTTCACAGAATGTGTACTCTGTCTTGCGTGTCCTAGAGCACTCAAGGGATTAAACAATAGGAATCACAGGCAGAATTAGCATTTTAATGGGGAACAATGAGTTTGAAAATTCACATAATTTGGCCTTTGAGCACCATCTAAAAAAACTGCAGGCGCAGGGGGACGGAGACAGAGAGACGGAGAATGTGCTCTGCCCAGACTTATGAGAAATCCAGCCTGTGTTTTAATGAGGGATGGGCTAAAGTAAGTCAATGCAGCTGACCTTGCTGGAGACACATTTTCCTCACGCTAAATCCTGACATTTCAGACCTGCTTTCACACGTTCCATGAATAGATGTCATTACTCATTATCACATTTATCATTACAAGTCTAAAACAATGAGGTGTCAACGAGGGGAAGGATTAAAATAGGCTTTAAAACTTTCCCCCCCACACGTTCCCAGAAAGTACCTGGCATAGGTCATCATGTGGCAATGTGTTCTCGGAGGGGAAAAAGAAGCCAAGCTTCTGACATAAGAAACTGTTCCTTAGAGGTGTTATTTTGCTGAAATCAAAACTTTCCATTATCCTGTTTCCTTCCAGACTAACAGAAGACATTGAGCAGAGGTTGGAGAGATAATAGTCAGTCCTTCCCTGTGCTGGGGGGTTTATTCTCTACTTCACTGCAGGTAGCATCTAGCACAGAGTGCAGATCTTTCCTCCTGTTTTGGAGCAAAGTCAATACAGTATTCATTTGTGGCAATAAAGTACATTCCAAATAATAACTTGACAGTCAATTTCTGAACTTGTGACAAACTGTCACGGGACAGCGAGGGTGAATGGAAAATGGCACAGCTACTGAGATGTGGAAAGGGTGAATACCTGTCATGCAAAACTAGAGAGGCTGGAAATATCTCCTTACATATGCCGCTCATTAAGGCTGCAGACAGTCCAGACAACCTGTTTCCAGGCAGAGGTGATGCTCAGAGCAAATCACAGGAGTCCTGCCCACCCTGCCCCATGTGCCACCTTCCTCTGCTCTGCCAGAGTAACTCCATCTATTGTCCCACAAGCACCCTGGTTCTGGGAAAAAAGTTTTGAAAAGAACTCTTCCCCCTTCCCTTTTTTCCTTTTTTAATACCGTTTGGGTTTTATTGTTTGTTCATTTTGGGCTGGTTTTTTGTCCTCAGTCAGTTCTTGTTCTTGTGGCTGCTTCACAACGTGACCAGATGCACAGTGGTGCCAGCACAAAAGGAGGAAGAAAAGAAATAAGCAGGAACGAAGAGAAAAAAATGGTGGTTAAGGAAATACAGGGAGGTATTGCTGTTATATAGCTTGTGTAGTGACTCCTAAGCCTATTCCACAATCCTAAATCTGGTGATAAATACCATGTGCTAAGAATGGGAATCATGCCTTTAGAACTGCTTTAATAATTTTCTCTTTTTTTTAATAGAAAGAAAACTGGCCTCTCACAAATAGTAAATCCTGCTATTTGCAAATGAACTTTAAAAAAAAATGCATCAGGTAATAGAATTCTCTGTCATTTAGCCAAATGCAAACTCAGGTGAATAAGATTGCCAATTATCAGTATAATTTTGAAAGAGAGGTATTCAGAACTAATTGTATGCTTCACTTGGATAGCCAGTCTGTCACTTTGTATTTGCAGTGCCATCTTCTATCCAACTGACAGTATTATGGCTTCTCTTTTTTTTATGGAATTTTCTTATTTGAAAAAATTAAAGCCTTTGTAAAAGAAAATCTAGCCTTCCCAAACTAAATCTCTCAGTTTTTGATGCGTCTCCATCAGGACCAGCAGAACAGTCAGGAGGGCTGCTAAACTTAACTTTGTTGATGATGGTTGGAAACTTCTTAGTTCTGTACACACGTGTAGTCATAGAACCATGGAATGGTTTGGGTTGGAAGGGACCTTAAAGATCTTCTGGTTCAAATCCCCCCAGCCATAGACAGGGACACTTCCCACCAAACCAGGTTGGTCAGAACTCCATCCAACTTTCCCTAGTCCTGATGGTGAAATTGTTTATCATTTCTTTCAGTGATGCAAGGAGCCTGATTATGCATCAGAGTGAGAGAGGAGAGAATAAGAAGAGACAGGGACAGAGAATAACTTTGCCTTTACTCATGTACTCCTCAAGTGCAAGCCTAAAATCCACAGAGCACTGACGGATCTATTTTGCTTCCTCTAACACTTGCATTACTCAAGTGATAAAGTGCTGTCTGCCATACTGAGAGCAGAAGAGGACCTAAAATGGCTTGTGTGATCCAGCCTGTGATGCAAAAAGCTTTCTGTGGGAATGGATAATGCCCAAATATGTGCAGAATATCATATTCACATCTGTATATTTTACAGTATAAAATGTCCAAAGCAAATGTCACTATGTAGACTAAAAGAAAAGAGACATTGCCTGACTTTGCAAACAGTTTGCTTTCCGTCTACTGATCACAGAATCATAGATTTAAAAGGCCAGAGGGACCATCATGATCAGTTAGTCTGACCTCTTGTATCACACAGGCCAGAGAACCTCACCCATTAATTTCTGCCCCAAGACCATAACTCCTGCTTGTGTGAATGTAATTCTTTTGTAGACAGACTTTTTTTCAGTGTCCAGTCCCATGACTGCAAATAAACAAGAACTTGGCAAATTTGTGCTAAGGCTGTAACTGTCTACTGGAGGATTTTTTTTTTCTTTTCTGAGCTTTTTTAAAACTTCTGAATGCTTTTGCCATCATCTCTGACAAATGAAGTTCTGCACTTAGTCTGTCAGCAGTTAAAAGCACAGCAATACTTGTTTCTCCAACTCCCACCTAACCCTTGATCTCTGCCAATGAAGGTGCCAGGTTTGGTGGCAGTTTCTAAAACACAGAGAGTTTTCAGCTCCAGACTGGACAGACAAGTTAATTCCCTTCCCATGGTCCACTGAACAGCCATCAGGTGGTGATAAATTTCAGCTGCTGTTCACCTGCACTGGCTTCACTTTTGTAATTGCAACTGAAATATTGTAATGTTCTGCTCTGAGCTGTATTATTGGTACTTTATAGCAATTAATTTCCCCTTTTTAAATTGTAGGCAGAATTTACCATGCTATGTATTAGATAAAATGAAATGAAGATCTAATTTAGCATAAGACACGGTATACTTAAGTTGTTTCATGGAAGCAACAAAAATAGTTAACCCCTGCCTTTAAAAGTTTAAAATCTGAACTGTGTAGAATATGCCATGGTGAAGATCTTGTGGTATATTATCTGAAATAACTCAAGATAACTCCTATGACTACGCTTTGCTGCCTTCCTTGCATTTCCTGTAAATTAATCTTTAGTTTCCAACCGTTAATCTATGGAACTGCAATGTACAATATAAATGGGACCTTTTAAAAATAGCACAGTAATATAATGAATTAAAATGACAGTAAAGAAAAAAAAAAATCTTACCATTGTGCCAGAAATCAGTTCAATATGCTGGCTTAGTCTTTTTTAAATGAAATTGAATTGATGAAGTTAAATGCAGTTCTTGCACAGAAGAAAATATGTCTGATAAATATTTATGTGGTAACATATATTCACCACATATCCATATGAGTGAAACTTGGCATATCTTTGTTATTTTTATGCAGGATACAAACAAACATAAAATTGTTGTGAATGAACAACAGAAAAATTTTGTCCCATATAAAGTTATGTTTATGAGAAGTTAACAGTATGCTCTTATCCCTTCTATCTGAAAGTTACGTTAATTTTCAAGGCTGTGACTTTATTTAGTTAGAAATACAGATGATCAGCGGAGTTGATATCTTTGCTGATAATTTCTTATTTGCGTATTTTGCACAAAAAAAATGCACACAGTCATACACTTCCACAGGGGAAAATGCAAACAGGTGATACTTCTTTATGTTCTCAGCCCTTTGCTGCTCAGCTCTCAGCCCAGAATTCTGTCTGAAGACTTTTCTCAAGGCTACGTGCCCAGTGCTTCTTTAAGCTCTCTCTGTATTTTCTGCTGCTTCTCTTTCAGTTCCACTACAACGTTACTCAGCAAAACCTTCCTGACCGTTGCTGCTTTTGTTCTGAGGAGTGGCAGGCCATGGTATTTTGCTTAACTGTCTTCTTATACTTCAGCATTTTATTTTCATGCTGGAAAGCAAAGATTTATTTCAACCACTCTTTTTTTCAGTGTTACATCTGAACATTGTCAATGAAGCGTGAGAGAATCTATATTAATATTTAACCTTTGTACACCACTTTCACATTGTGCTTACAAAAGACACTAGAGAAAAGAGAAATGAGAAACACCTCCAGAAAATATGGCGTAAAACAAATACCCCATAGAACCTAACACAGCACTCTTTTCCATACCTAGTAGTGGTTTCACTTTGCTCACCACTGTCCCAGTTAATTGTTATCTGGACAACATCAGCAAAAAATAATTACTCAAATTACTCAGTACCATCTAATGTCCATGCTCACAGGCACGGATACCAGCCCTTACAAATCCTAATGCCATCTTGCATGTAAAAGGCTGTAGGATGGAGCCTTTGTGTATGGGTAGTGTTTATATGCCTAGATGGGTTCCCTTGTTACTGGAATCTTCCAAGGGATTTTGTTTCGTTCCTGTCACAGCTGTTCAGCCCAGATGCAGATGTTGTTATCTGGGCTCTGATGCTGCAATTCAAGTGCACAGTCTTTGACAGAAGCAGAGAACAGTCGAAGAAAAAAAATATGTGTGGGAGCACCTTCCTCTTGTGAACAGGTTGAGGGATTTGCCTGTGGTGGACAGGGGGAAACCATTCATAGGAGTTAGGAAGATAAGATAAATTACTGTTCAAAAATGGTGTTAATTACCTCACTCAACTAAAACTGAGTCTGTAATCTTCAATACCTGCAAAGGTCTCATCTTGGATCACTGACACAGTAGTAACTAAATAACTGCTTCTCCTAAAAGTCAATGTTGGATGGAATTAATCTAAATTTAACTGTCTAAAAATCAACTGTCTATTCTATACCCATGCTCAACATAAAGGAAGGTTTCCTCAGCAGTGATTGGCCATAGTTCCTGTAGCACTCTCTTACAGCCTAGATGCATGTAAGATGGATTCCTGTGTTTAAGATGATAAGGTGAGTTGTACCTCAGCACTGGTGTATATTTACATGGCAGTCACAGAAACCAGCTTGCATGGGTACCATGAACAGTCTGCCAGTGGTCTGCGAGTGATCTGCATTTCTGGTGTCCTGAATTTGAACATTTAGAGGTGTAAAATTCTATTTACCTTGGATTTGAAACTTTGCACGGATGTATTGTGCTTAAACTACTGCTCTTTGTTGCAATGGCAGGGAATGATTCTGCACTCTGTATTGATTTGAACACATTGCTTTTGATTTTTGTTGCTAGTTGCTATATCTGAGGTAACAACTAACTTAGGAATAACAGGCATCTGTAGGCAAAAGTGAGGAGGAATACTTTACATTGTTTGTTACTCTATTCATACTACTTAATGTGACTGATTGTAATTTTGCTGATATTTCAGGGTTAGTCCCTATTAAAATGCCTCATCTGCCATAAGGCTGCTCTCCATGTTCTCATAACAGCTCTGAAGTTATTTGTTTGTAATCATAAGAATTGGTAAAAGGAGGAGGGCAGCAGGCATCCGAGCTGATACGTGAAGTGTCAGTCAGCTTTTGGATCACCATTTGCTACGACAGCAGTGGGAAGGAAGAAAAATGGCAGTCGCAAATTTATTTTAATGTGTCCTGCAACCTTGTGATTGATTAGAGGAAAAACAGATTGTTTCACCCTTTTTCCACAATTGGATTTTCTGGTTAAATCCAGAACTGCCGAAGTGCAATAAAACACTCTCATGAAGGCAGTAATCTCCCTAAATCTTCAAATTTCCCTCAACCCCTCCTCCCCACCTCATTTCATACACAAACACGGAACAAAATGATGCATAAAAGCAGCAAAACTGATTACCATCAGCAGAGTTTCCTTTTTAATATATTAGACCTTTAATCTTTTCTTAAGTGTTGGCCATTAAAATTATTAAACGACTTCCCCTCCTCCTGCCAATGTATATTTTTTGAATTAATAGACCGAAGTATTTAAAAAACATTACTGCATTTTTTCCACAGCTCTCCTGGGGTGTTTTGTGGTGTAAATTTTGCACTGTTTAATGAAGTTATCACTTTCTGCAGAGCTCCTGTAAGCTGTTGGCACTGCTTCTTCCCTCAGTTCTTACTGGGAGCCCGGGAGGTCAGGAAGGTTCTGTGGACAGTGGTGAGCAGGCAGAACGGCCACTCTCTCTCTGCAGTCATCTTCTGGGAATGGTTACACAGGGGTTTCAGGGATACCTTTTACTTCTCCTTCAGGCTCATGAGTTCATTGAACATTGATCTTAAGACTACCCACTACCAGTAGGTTAGTATTGGTTAAGTAAATATTATGACAGCAAATAATATAATTATTTACACATCTCCAAAAGGATACAGCACTGCAGGCTCCATAGGGGTGGTAGCAAACAGCAGCATGTCAGGCAGGTCCTTTTCTTTGCAGGGTAACTAAAATGACCAGCAAAGATGCTCCAAAGTGGCACAGGGTCTCAGGAGACCCTCTTGAGAGGCCTCAAGGAGCCGTGGGCTTTTCAGAAGGATGGAGGACCTGCTTTTGAATATCACTCTGCCTGAAGGAATCTCTGTGATGGAGCTACCCCAAATAATTTGTAACTTTTGAAAATACTAACCATTAATAAACTTAACACAATTGATCAAAAAATAAGTGTTAGCTTGTATATAAGTGAAGTCGGTGCTCTCACACTAGGCTGTAGAACAAATGACAAGCCTTTCTGCAGCTCTTCATTTAGTATAAATCTAGTGCCTATGTCTGACAGAAATTAATAATGCAGTCTTGAAATATGAATCATGGAAAATGAGCAAGATAAGTTCTTTTACTAAATAGGCCACACACTGACCACAATGACTTCTGACCTACGCTGTCTGCTCTACATTGTCTGCTCTCCCTGGAGAGCAGTGACTAAGAACCGGGTGCTGTGGGAAAAATGTTTGGGTGTAGCAGCTGAGTTTCTGGATGTTGTATTCTGATCTTGTGAACATTTCAGCAAATGAGTAACTGCCCACACTGGAGCAGTCCCACTGTAAAGAAGTCACTTCTTCCTTATATGTTTGCAAACTCAGGGGCACGTAAATACTCTTGTCTACAAACAAAACTTGCTTAGTCAATTACTTTTCATTTGTGGCTGTCAGTTTATCTCTCATTTCACTGAAAACAAGTAATACTCTTATTTAAACAGGAGCTGAGAGTGTTCCCCAGGAGGAAGCCGACAAAGAGCCAACCCAGCTAACACAATGTCTGAATTACAGTCAGCACACATGGAAAGTTGCACCAGTCATTTATTTTGAGCAAGTTCAGCAACTTGGCCCATCTTTCTGAATAGTTCGCTTGTTTGATACAAGTAATGAAAGACATTTCACTTATCTTAATTGCTTTACTCGTGTCTTCCATATTCCTGTAATGGTCCCTGATTGCTCAGCCTTAGAAATTAAATGTATTGTGTGCTGTTATTTCCACAGTTACCCAGTATGAGCAGTTAGGTAGTATCACTGATAGGTAGATGCTAGCCTTTCACTTTTAAAAGTCTGAAATTCAGCTTTTGCATTAGATTAAAAGTACAAGCAATGGTAGCTGGATTAATTTAGCTCTTTGCTGACTCCTGTAACAAAGCAACCAAACCAAATGGGCAGTGTAATCAGTTGTCACTAACTGCAGTATTGATAACTGCAGTTCTTGGCTTAACTTACAGGTAGATAACCTTGTATGTGATCAGAGAAAGTTCACTTTCAGTTAAAGCAGTTGCTTTCTCTTCCCATGAACAACTTGGGGTCAGAGCTAGTAAAGTTAAGTGAAGACAAAAAGACAAAGTGACAACGATCTGGTTTCCTCCACCAGCCCACAGGAGAGTAGGTCATGCTCGTTCAGGAAAACATGCAAAAGCTGGGAAATAACCAGGATTAGTGTTGCCCCAGTAACCTTAATATGACTGTCTCTATATATGCCTCAGTTCCTTGGCCCCTGGTACCTGTGTGAGGTGTAAATCAGGGTTCTATAAGACAGGGGAATTTTGAGTTTAAAACCTTCCCCAAATAAAGGGTTGTTAGGACAGGTTCACAGGATTTAAACAAAGCATCCCTCATGCCCTTGTGTTTGGAGATGCTGGACTTACTGCAGATGAATCATTTTCAGCAGAGACATCCTTCCAGCATCTGCAGTTCTGGTCTGCGTGGTGGAAGCCTGGTGATTTTGAAAAACATCATGACATTGGGTTTTGTAATAGAAAGCATGTGGCATCTGTGGTGATACAATGATCTGGAGGAATTTCTGTTGGGAGTTGTGGTCATTGGGATGTTACTTTTTCCTTAGAGCCAGATTGCTCTAAGAGTGAGGCTCACAGAAGAGTTTTACAGCTGTTTTCTCTCTTGTGCTTCACATTAACCACAATTTTTTAACTTCTCAGTGTGCTCCATAGGTGGCTACACTTGAGAGAGTTCCTTTTTTCCCCCCAGTTTATTTAAAAAAAATTGGGTGATTTCACTGGCTGGGTTCAGAGAGAGTCTTCACAAAGAGCTGCCACAGCTTGACTGGTAAATTGCAGTGGTCATTGCCATAGAGGAGGTGAGACAAGGGAGAGATCAGGAACCTGCTAAGCAGGCTTTTCTCCTGGAAAAAATTGTAATGTGGAACAAACCATTCATTTTTACTTGTGCTCTCACCTGTAGCTTTAATTTACATCTCCAAAGATACAGTCCTGTGCTGGTACTCAAATAGCAGCCTCTCATCTAGCTCATGAGCACATTTTACCCAGACCTCACCTTATCAGTAGCAATCCAGGACTTGTTACCACTACCCTGCTCCCTCAGAAAGTGGCTGCAAATCGTGAAGGCAGAGCAAAACCAGTACATTGCTTCCTGCTGATCAAATCTCAGTAAGAATTAACAGACCTTAGAAGAATTTCCCAGCAGACCTCGGTAGAAATTAATTAAGTACCCCTTCTCCACTGGATTAACCAAGACAGTCTCATTTAGTAATGAGAACTTCTTTGATATGGAGTCTGGGCGCTGCAGCCCTGTCTCTGCCTGGTCCAGGGCCCCACTGAGCCAGCCACCACCCTCATCCCATCCCCATCCCATTCCCAGGGGATGCCTTCCTGTTTGGGCTCCATGGTATCCATGGATTGTAGGGCTGTGGCCAACCCTGGTCACCATCCCCAGCCCAGCCTGGCCCACCTTGCTGGGGTCTGCAGGATGGGGAGGTGTCCTCTTGCTGCCTCCTGGTCCAGACCAATACCCCCACAGCAAAGCCATCCATGGAAAGACCCCTCTTATGTCAATTTAATTAACTAATCATTTTGCTTTAAGGACAAGCTGAAGCTCTAAGAAGCACACAGCTTCTCAAACCACCTTCTGTGTGCAGCTAATATTGCCTGTGAATGATGTTTTCTGTAAAAAAATCAGGCACAGAGCTGAAAGAGTCTGACTTCAGGACCTGTGAGGGAATGTCACACTGAAAGGAGTGAGCAGGTGTCAGTTCTATGGGTGACACTTGCCAGTCCTTGAAAGGCAACAGAAATCAAAGCATTTGGCTGCAGGACTTCCTGGAGTCATGGGAACTTTCTAGCAGCTGTACAGATACTCTGACTCCCCATCCTCATGTCCTTGAGGCCACGGACATCGATCCTCCCCTTGATTCCCAGTGCCACGGCTGCACCTTCATCAGTCCCAATTCTCCCCCTGGGCAGAAGCCAGGACAGAAAACAAACTAGAGGAGCAGCATTACTGATGTCTCCCTTTTTCTACTGCATTCCTAACAGGGAACCATGCATTGCAAAATGTTTCCTTCCTAAACTCAGCTGACCCTTTCTAGCCAGGACCGGAGCTCACGGTATCACCACCAGGAGACTTCCGTGAGGAGGTGAAAAGAGGGCAGATGGCTTCTCTCTAGGTTTTGCCTTTCCTTTTGGCTCCTGTTCATCCTCATCTGTCTTACAGTATAAGGGAACGCAAAGGTCTCTGAACAGGCTACCTGGAAAATTCACTTTGTGCTCTGGAAACTGGAGAAAAGAGTGCCTGATTCATCACCACACTGCTGCCAGGCCGAGGGCAATATAACACCATGGGAATCAGCTGGGATGAAGCTGGAATAGAGCTACAGTGGATCAACACAGAGAATAAACAGTCACATCATTATATTTATACCTGAGGCTCTTGCACATCAGAAGTGCTCTTTGCACCGCAAAGCAGCAACATCGCACTTGGAAGTACCAATAAAACCACCTCTTGGCACAGCCTGCCCTGCCTGGAACAAAGAAATACAGCAATCCAGTGTGTGCAAACAGCCTGGTTTTCCTTTTCAGAGCTGCAGGCTTGTAATGTATCGCCACTCACTGTCTTTATTCAACGAGAATAATGTCAAATGCTCTTCTGGCAGAAAAAAATGCAGACTTTGACCACACATTAACCCCATTAGTACGGTGTTAACTTTTGACTTTAATTCTGGCACAGCGTTAGAGATATTTAAAAGCAGAACAAAATGAAAGGAAATGTTAAACACATTCCTCTTCCTCTTGAAAATGGGAACGATAATTTAATGGTAATGTCACGAGATGGCTGAAAAGGTTTCATGTCTCTATATCTTACACAGAGTGTTACCAGAGGTAACCTGGGCAACTTGCAAACAACAGCTGAAAAAAAGGAACATGTAACAGAGCTTTTAAAACTTTACCCCCGAAGTCATTTCAGATGCATATCTTAGGAGGAATAAAGCTATTATTACAGTAATACATTCATTAATGGATGAAAATATAATGATGATAAGACCATATAATGAAAAAATATCCTTAATTATTAAATTTCTTATATTGTAATTTATGTCAGTACTTTACATACAGAGAAATCATTCTGAGAAATATTTGTTTGGGGAGTAAACCTCCCAAAGAGGCATAATTTTGGTCTGTGAAAGGCTACATGTGCTGCATAAAGAGGTTTAATATTTGGCATAATGTTATTTGCAGCTTCAGCTGCAAAAAGTGTCTGAGAAAATTAGAGGCCATAAATTACTAATTACATAAAACTTCCAATAGCCAAACAATGGTTTCTTCCAGCAGTGCGATTGCTATAACCAAAGCCAATACTCTGATTTTCTAGGACTGCAAGACTGTGGATGGGTAAACATGAGGCACATGAAGAGAGATGTGCTCAGCACTCTCTTAAGGTAAGCTTGAATTTTATTTTTCGACGGTTGCATATATTTACTGAAGGAGAAATGTGGAGTCAGCAGCAATTGCATGGAGAAACCATTATACCCTATGGCTAGTAAACTCCAAATATGCCCCAGGAGGCTGATTGGAAGTTACCTACAGTTCTCTCATTATCACAGCACTTTGCGTCTCTGGTGACTTTTGTCATGGTAAGCAGATTGCAGAGGAGTGAGTGCAGGATGAACAAATCAAAGCACACGAGCATATTTTATGAGATATCCACACTTCATCTACCATCTACCGCAGTGAAGTGCAGGAACAAACACCCTTAACTCTTCTGTAGCTCTTGTTGTTTGTTCTCCCTGCATTGGTGATACCTGGCTTTGACAGGATTACCCCACTGTGTCTATTTGTAAGTACTATAAAAATGAAAAAGATGATCCACACACAGCATTTTCTCATTTTCCTTAATAATTGAACAGGCAGAGGGTGAGCTTGAATTCTTCATGTAATGTCCTCCACATGGTCCACACATCTAGTAGAGAGACAAAAAGGCAGTCCAGCTCTCCAAGACCTTTGCTGAAGTTTGAGAATGTTCTCATAGAATACCAAGCTGGTCACATCTGTCACACCTGCTAGTCCATGCTGGAGGCTGTGCCAAGGGCATGTCCATGATACAGGGAACTGAGGCACTGATAGCTTGTCTCTTTTCCTGCTGCTGGAGGCTCAGCTCAACAGCTTCAAAAGGAAGGGCAAGTAGTCAGCATGGACATGCTGACATTGAAGGTTTTCAGGCCAGTAGGCCCTCCTTCATGTTAAAGAAGAGCATCTAATCACTTTTTTTCTTTTTTATTGTATGAAGAGGGGCATTTGTTTGAAGTTTATGTGCACTAGGAGCAGATTATGTTATTTGTATGTTAAAATTAATGCAGTTTTTTTCACCGTCAGACAACATAAAATGCATTCCTTGGGATTTCTCTGAAGTTTCACATCACATTTGTTGTAAATTGCTTTAAATAACAGGGATGAGAAACGTGGTTTAATGCATCACAAGAATTTTAGCTGAGATAACACAGAAATAATGGATGTTCCTTTAGAGTCCCAAAATTTGTTACAGTAGTATAATTTATGCTGCAATAAATGAAATATTAGGCTATATTCAGAATATAGACATTGTAGAGATATACT